GAGCAATGACGAGGTCTGCAGGTTGGTTTTGGGCAAGAAGTCTTTTTCTGCCTCTCGATTGTTCGCTGAATCTTAACCGGATGCGTTGGCTAGATCAAATCCTCTGTGTGCCCACTGACCGCGTTCTTCGGCATGCATATAGGCAATGGCTGCACCAAGTTGGCCGAAATCACGAGGAACCCAGTCGATGACTTGGCATAAAGGTATGAAGAGATTGACTGAGAAACTGAGTCAGGTTGGTACATACCTACTTCGTGGATTGGGGTTCCGTGAAGGTCCGCACTATTGGTTAGAGACTGTATCAGATACGGTTCAGTCGCACAATCAGTGGCGTTCCTGCATTCGCTTGCTTACTGCTAGTTGTTCATCTCCATTCTACTCCAATTAGTCCTGCGTATTTCTGTCTTGATTCCAATTTCTTGATATGCTATTTGCACTCAATCACGTTTCTGCCATTGTTATGCTGGCGATGTGAGTAGTGGCAACTGCATCCATCGCACTTCGGTGCCCGGATCATAGTGGTCTAATTGACCTGACTGCATTGAACTGTTTGTGCCACCCAAGTTTCAGTAAACTTTGACTCAGCCTCACAATATCCGGAGACAATGTGAATCGCATGTCAGTGTATTTGAGAACAAATGGAATCGCCCATAAGTATAAAACGGGAGCGACTCGTGTGGTCTAAGAGATGCGGCAATCGGTCCAAACAAATGCTCATGGGACTGTACTAAATAGCAGCAACAAGTAGCTCTGCGCACTTGCGATACACTGAGCTTCCCAACTGGTCACATAGGTCATCGTCGCTTCGGTAGACGATCGCAAGTCCTACACAGAGAAGACCGGAAGTACAGCAAGATGGCAGCCCTGGCAATCGATCGCTTCTTTAACAACGGAAGCAGGGGTAAGCATTAAGTTTACCTTCTTGGGGATTACATGAGTAATCAAACACGGCTCTGCGAGTCACACAGCACCTGCCAACTCAGAAACAACAAAGCGACATTGCTCACCACGCCTGCAGACTTTGGTAAAGGCTACCTGCAGGCCGCAATAGGAACCACTTGGTGTGGTTGAAGAGTAGGCGGCCGATTTATCAAAATTCTGGTTCGTGTTTTAACCAGCCGAAAATGTAAAGTTTGTTTTCTTCGCACCGGTTCACCATTTTAGCTCGATGATAGCACGTTTAGGGTGCTCTTAGTCGGCTGGATCAATTTCAAGACGAATATGCGCTCTAGCTTACTTCTCAGTCTACACAGCCGAGCTTCGGGCTCGCCTCATCACAAAAGACAAGCGCATTGGTTAGTTTTTCTCAGTAGTGTTCTTGCCGAGACGGATGAATTGACCAAGTTTCACTCGGTCATGCAGCTTGTCGAGGAGACCATCAGACAAGCTGGGCAAAAACTCAACGTTGTGATCGTAGATTGCCTGAGGACTTGGGTCGGTGAAAAGAGTAACGTGAAAGATGATCAGATTTGGTTGCTTTTGTCAATCGAAGCGGATCCTGCGGAAGAAAGGTGACCACGAGTTATCCTTGACCTCGCTTGTTGTTGGTCTGCAACGGGAAGCTTTACTCTGTTTCTTGGCTTTTTCCATGGTTGAATTTTCCATGTTTCCTCAGCCAACGGACATTCCTCACTTGAGTCTTAAGAGCCAGCAGAGCACAAAGTTAGTGGACAATTAGTCTCAGTTGGCGTTGAGTTTCTGGAAATCAGGGGACAATGAGGTGACGAATTAGCAAGAGGAGAGGAGGATTGAACTTTTAGTGGAATTCGGATGAGTGTTGCGCGACCATGAGTCTAGAATAGTTAACAGGTTGATATTTCTGGTCACGATCTGCATCGGCAGATGTCAGACCTCTCACTGACTGTCTTCGACTGCAGCATTCGTTTCACAATTTGAATGGTATCGTGTCGAGTAGAATGCAAGAGACGAGATGAATCAGCAAATAATTCAACGCACGAAATACAGAAGCTAGTCCAGCAATAAAGGCAAACAAGGGCATGTACCGTCTGCCCAACAATTTGTTGAACAGGGTGATTTCTTCGACATTTTGAAAGAATGAATGCAGGGCAGACTGCAAGACGCAATTCTGAAATCTGCGGATAAATGCCACAAAAAATATGATCTAAAAAATCCGGAATCACAAGTAAAACTGAACGGTGTCGAATTTGGCATGAAATAATTTCAATGCATTGACAAATCCACCCATAAATAATCATGACAACACAGTCACGGTGGAGGCAACAGGACGCTGCTAATAGCAGAAGCTTCGAAAAAATGTGGCCAGACAAACGTGAATAGCTCACTCCAGACATACTATTCGGTGAGGTGCCAACGAATAGGTAAACAAGTACGAAGCGCTGGACCTCGCGGGGTTACATCATCAGTGATGCTTAGGACGCAACATGAAACGCACCAAGGATAATTAGTAAACTTTATCTGAACACAGCTATCGGGATCCTCACTGGTCGAAACGTGACGTATACTTATCGGCATTTAAAGTTCCCGCCACTTAAACTAGTAGTTGTTGCCATCACGGTCTTTCGGTTATCATACGTTCGCAGTGGTTCGGATAGCGCATCTTCAAATTCGAGTTATCTTAAACAGAACGACATCAGATGTAGATAATGAAACCCATATTTTTCGCCATAGTTCGTCGCAGCCAACTCCCGGTTAAACAATCGCTCACACATCCATAAAAGTGCTAAACTGTCGTTTGGTCTTAGTGGGATTTCAGTAACACGCAATCCCGGATCTACCGGGAACAGAATTTCTTGAGCTCTAGATGCCAGTATAGTTTGAGTGACCGCAGAGGACCGATGCCTAACTAAAAATAGTGCGACTAATCTCCCAAGGCCATGCGGAGTGCACAGGTGGCTCCTAGAGGCACGGTTTCCTGTGCAGGCGCTACACATGACATACCATGCAGTTGCTCGGATAGGTTTCGGAGTTTTGATACAGATTGGATACAGCCCATCAAGGTGAACTCCAAACCTGATATCAGCCCACACATTATAAATGACTGGTTTGTCCTATTAAGATTCCTCAGTAGTGTATATCTCTTGGTCAGTAATCCAACTAGCAAATAAGCTACAGCATCAGAGAATACCTCTTTCAATGTAAGAAAAGCGGTGGAAAGCATTGGTTGTAAAATGCATTTCTGGACGCACTGAACGTCTGTTTATCTGAAGCAGTTGATAGGGATGAGATCATTCACTGCAAATGCTCCAGGATCACTCGGATAGAATATACCATAGTTTAACCACAGTTGTGAGAGTCTATGGTGTAAGAATACATGTGCATCCAGTTCGCGGTGACTCACAAGTGAATCTACGGAGATGCGGGCGCCACTATAATAAGAAATAATGGCAAAGAAATCTGTTGTAATCGCGATTCGTGGGGCGTAGAGTCGTCAGAACAAAGACTTCATTGCACCGGACAGTGTATTGACCAGATGTCAAGTCACATGAAGCAGGCAAGACAGCCGACTATATAGGGTAACGCGGACCCATGCATATGAACCCCAGTGGAGCAGTGGGTGAGAATAGAGTTCATGGTCAGAGGTGTGGAATGATGTCGTACTGTTAAAGCACTGCGTTGCCAGCCATATGGATCAATACTTGATAAACGATTCACTGCAGTTTCAGCCACGTACCTATAATCAAAACAAACATACCAGGCACGTACAGTCAAAGCATAACATATCGAAAGGGTGCGCTGAAGGAGCACTGATGAGACTACCACAAATGCCAGTAGCCATCCGGATCTACCCTGAGTAGTCTAGCCATGAAGAATTTTAGTGAAAAAGCCAGAAACGAAGCGATGCTCCTTGCTACCGGGTGTGAAATAGTCTGGCTCATAAGAGCTACTTAACTCACCATAATTGAGGTGAATAGATCGTTCACAGAGAGAGGGACGGTGAGGAAGTTTCAACTACCGGAGTAGCCTTATAGGGGTGTGTGAATTCGGAAGGAAGTCGTATAACATTCCAGTTAATAAGGAGTAGGAGTGCTCCTATCGCAATCCGTGTCTAATGTTAGGGATAGGCGGAACAGGACCAAGTAGCTCAGATGTAAGCAGGCGATGACGAGTAATCGGTTTCGCATGAGCTGGGCAAAGGAGTGGCAAAAGAGCTGACCACCACTCTACACAAACGGAAGGTCAGTGGAAAAATTGGGTAGTGAGATGCAACCGCATGCTAATTTGCAGAAAGAACGAAACAAGTAACCTGTAGGTGGAAGAGTTTCAACAGCATCCACCGATAGTTGTTATACCCAGTCCAACGAGACGTCCAACCAATGGCGTCTCACGCCCCACGGTGTTCACACTACTCCAAATTCATCCAACGCCTGTGTGTAATAATCTAGGTAGTAAACCCGTTAGCAGGGAATGGAATACATTTGGTTATCAGCGTTAAGCGCCGATTGGGTGATATAGGAATGAGGGGGTAGCAAAACCAGTTAGAAACAAACATGGTATAGCAACAAGCGCGGTAAACTGCAAACAGGAGCAGAGCCAAGGAAATCAAGTCGCACCCATGAACTATACCATTTTTCATTGAAGTGGGACCTTCGGGCAAAACATTTACGCCTGGGGGTCAACGGGGTCGCTCCTCCGGGGCAATCAATTTGAGCCTTCTCTATGCGGAATAGAACCACTCACTGGCATGGTAGGGGCTGTTTCATTGGCCAAGCGCCTTCAGCAAATAGGACCTCAGACGCATATCGGTGGCATGGACCCAATTGAGACGCCGCTTGGCCAATGAAACAGACCCTACCACGCCAGTGAGTGGTTCTTTTCCTCATAGCGGAGAATCAACTTGATTGCCCCGGAGGAGCAACTCCGTTGACCCCCAGGCCTAAATGCTTTGCCCTAATGTCCAACTTCAATGGTAAATGGTATAGAGCTTCGAAGAAGTCAAACGATTACATGCGGAGATGCGGTGAAGGTCAGAGCACATGCAGAGAAGCGGGACGTGTCGGCCATGTAGACGTGATACTTACCGATTGCGCTAGAGATATCTGAAGCACCATGAAGAGATAGCGAAAGAGTGATTGGGGCCGCATAAGATTCTCAACTCTATCGCAAGAGTACCGTATACTTGTTGAAATAAGCCGAGATAGGGTAATTCGACTCAAGGAAAGTGATGTCCGTCAAATAGCGCATGCCAAAATAAAGCATCGAGAAAATTCAACGAAAGAGACAGTAGGCGAAATAGAGATAGGCGAAGAAGATTGACGCATGAGAAAATAGTTCAACACAATGGGAACACTGATGTCTCAAGATCGACGCGGCAAGAACAAAACAAAAGGGAGAGCAGTGTTGAATCTTTTCACAGATAGTTTGTTCTTTGGGCTTAGGTGAGTCAGCTGTAAGTGGAAACCCAAAGGGTGTAAGTCTGCAGCAGAACGACATCAGATTGATAGGGACAACTTCGTTTAAAAGCAATAAGTTACGAAGTTGAAAAATTGTCAAGAAAGGAACACGCCAAACAGCGGACGCAACTACTTACCGACGTGGGTGTACTCGGCCAGAAAGACCACGAAAAAGGGAGTGAGCAAGTCATTGATGCCTTGCACGTATCCACTGCCTGGATGCCTCGTTGACCAGATAAACAGGATGCGTTCAAACATCTGAGTATAGAATGAAGCGTAGAAAAAGAGCTCAGCATGAACAACAGTGCCGAAGATGGAAGAGAGTTGCGTTCAAAAAGAAAGAGGATAGGCGAACGCCCGTGAACTAAGTAGTCCGAGCTGATGAGAAGCAGAAAGCGCCAAGTCCAGTTCTTATACGCAGTTCGGTGGTGGATAGGGAAATAACCAAAGCAGTGCGAAATGGCTGGTGGCATTCCCCCTGCAAAGTTTCCTGTCAGTGAAACTTCGAGTAACCCCCACAAGACGCCTTTAAGGTGGACATAAATAAATAAATAGTTTTATCCTCGAGGAAACGAGACACACCAGTACAGGCGTGACTCGAGAGACTAACGCTCCACCTGTCAAGCGTGAGCTGATGGTAACCACATTTGATTCAAAGCCGGCCCATAGCCAGTCAACATGCATCTCATGGATGACAAACGCATGAAGGAGGCAGGTTGCTGGGCAGTAACATGTTCCGCTGTTTGGGACCAACAAAGCGGGAGCATAATAAAGTATAAAGTTTTCGTCAAATTATGAGCATCGATACTACGTCTTACAGGGTTGTGGTCACTCAGAACAGTAGGAGAACAAGCGGTTGGGCCGGCAGAAATTATGGTACAAAAGCACGACGGATTGATGCATGCCTATGACCACAAAACGTACAGCGAGCAGATCGGGACGTCGATAGAGCAATGTCATGCGGGTGAGATCCTTCTGGATTTGATGGAACATGGATTTACACGAGGGTTGCTCACGGAGATGATGATATTGCTCCACAAACAATGCGTACTGTCTGCGTTTCTCGGTCAGGGCAGAGGTTCTACGTTCTTTGCACGCTGGTAAGTAATCCTGCGAGGGTGGGAAAGAAGTTGTAACAGTAGATGAATTGAAGAGCAAAAAACAACAACACCGGAGCAACAAGTGGTACAGCAACGAACATATGAATGGGTGCGTAACGCAAAGCGAGATTGATGAAGACCGTGGCGATGGTGAAACAGTGTAGGTGTATAATGCGGGGAGAATGGATTGGACGCATATTACTGTAGCTGCGAGCAGTAGTCTACAGTGATAAAAAGAAAGGAAGCACAACGCGTTCAGAGGTGAACATATTTGCGGATACTCGGTGGTGAGGTCTAGGCATAAACAAATAGAAGTGAAATCTGGCGGAATATGAGTGACTGACTCAATCCACTGGACACAACCGTAGAAGGCATCTGTAGTGTACGTATCACCGCTAGTCCCCTCTCCCCCTCCTGCAGCCTTCAGCTGACTGGACGAGTGCTTGTCGAGTGACCGCGTAGACTAACACTGATTCGAGAGCTACACTCCCGTAAGGAACAGGCTGGTTTCCGCCCCTGACGAGGGTGTGTGGATCACATGTTTACGCTCCGCCAACTCCTCGAACAGCGCCACCTTTATCGCCAACCTACCACTGTCGTCTTTTAGGGCATCCGATTGCGTTCGACTCCGACGACCAGTCTGCTCTATGGCGTTGCCTGTAAAGGAATGGGGTTTCCGAAAAGTATACCCCTGTACCACGAGCTTTCAGGAACAATGTCTCTAGTAGAGTGAGGGCTTACAGCAAGCTCTCTTCACCTTTTGCCGTCACCAGCGATGTGCGACAAGGATGCCCCATGTCCCTGTTTCTTTTCAACTTTGCGACTGAAGATGTCCGCTATGGAAGATCTCCAGGGTTCTGGCGTGAAGCTTCTTCCACGCAACCGCGCGACTGAATTGGACTATGCTGATGATATTGTCTTGCTCAGTGTCGACTCACAGTATGCAAGTCGTTCTAACCCGTTTAGCGATTGAAGCTACCAAGTGTGGCATGACCTTCGCGCCATCGAAATACAAAGCCCTACGTCAGGATTGACATCCACTTGACTCCGTGATAATTTTTGAAGGCACGCAGCGTGAACGAGTAGATAGCTTCATCTACCTTGGCAGTAGCGTTTCATCTGATCGCACCATCCGTAAGGAGATTTCTCTCCAAATTGTATCATGCATTGTTCGACCTTTGCGCTTCTTAAACGCATTCATTCCATGGTTTCTCGATAGCTCAATGTCTACTATATAGACTGTCGATCGACCGATCAAAGAATCAATATGAACATGTCTAAACTGCGTACGGCACTATTCGTATGCACGCTCTATCATCGTCACCAACATCAATACACGTTAGCTGTGGGTGAGAAACACACCTCAGCTAATGTGACAGAATACAAAAAAGATGGGGCATTAAACATTACAAACTACAAAATCTAAAAAGGAAATATAATTGTAAAAAAGAATATTATGCATCGGGCATGATATGGTGGTTGGAAGGGGAAGCTAAATGGGACGGGAGGGACAAAGAAGTTCACAACACAAACGCTACTGAGGTCGTTTCACAGATATGTCAACAAGTGTATCCAACCAAACGTGTTCATCGTTCTTCGGACCCCAGCCCGGCAGTCGGGAGACACTAACCGACACCAACTTCGAAGTGAGGGACTTCATTCCCCTTGACCAAGTCGTCGGTTGGCTTTCCCTCCCTGTTATTCCAGCCAGGCGTCAGTCGCGCGAACGCGCCACGAAGGAGTCGGTGTGTTGGCATGCGTAACAAGTGATCGAGCCATCGGAGCCAGATGCGTGATTTGGTGCTGAGTGGTTCACTCGCTCCTTCAAGCATCAAATACAAGACGCCGAACAAGCTCATTGCTCAGGCGGTGTTCCCACCAGACATGCGCTAAGTTGCGAAGTCAGAGATGATGGAACGTAGGTAGTCTCTTTATGTCTGTCGATTTGATGGGCCAGGTTCCGCAACCGTACATGAGTAGTCTTTTCGCTCCGTCCGCTGAGTGCACTCCACACAGATTAAAAGGTCGGATTTGTAGATAGGTGTATCACGATGCAACAGCAATCATCGAAGCAAGCCCCTCCAGTGGGTGCAAGCACAGTGCGAATTATGAATTGGAATCCAAATGTGAAGTAGTGCAAGCGGGAAGATGAGTCCGCTGTAACCAGCTCACCGCGTCCATTGCACAGAAATTCATTCGATGAACCGAGTTTGGTTGACCTTGGTCCGGAACTTCTTGCTTTTCGTTCGTGCCCGTCTTGTCTTCGCGTTTCACCACAACCGTGGTGACAGACAATATGGTGACTGGATGGCGTGTACAAGTTTGCAAAACAGCAGGGTGAATGCAGTGAGCGACATAGCCTCGAGCGGGTAGTCGGAGCGGCAGGTTAAGGAAAACTGATGATTGACCTAACGACCCAATACGGAAGCGTTATTTGGGAAAGCGAAAACAAATCTGAGGCTGGTGGTAGCGTCACACTACACGACAAAAGGATCCCGGAGTAAATAAAACGAGAGCTTCTAGTATGGAAATTAGGATGGATCAAAGATTATGGAATGTTGTCGTTGGTTGGACGAGGCAAATATACAGTTTATTTAAGCGAAACCCTTAAATTGACCGTAGTTTTTCACTGGGACATCGGTTTTACTCTAGCGGCTGTGGCTTCTGCAGTTTTTACCAAATATGTTGACATCTTCGGTTAGACTTTACATGGCAACTAATGCTATCCTGCGTCGATCTTCAGAAAATAGAACTTCGATATACTGCGCGTGCTATGCGGTTTACTTCGGCTATGAACACATAAATATATAAAGGGGCGTTTTGCAACCTGAGTAATCATCGTCCCGACTGACACTAATAGGCTACAACATTTTACCGTAAACAGAATGCAAATACCACTAATTCACTTAAGCAACGTACAATCGTTGCTTGCGAATTCGGGGCCGCTTATTCTGGTAATCCTGTACACCCAGTGTTACTTTTCCCACCTATAACAATCTGGTATTTAAACAGTGCTAGTTTAATCCATCCGTAGTAACCAATGCAAAAATGCTGAAAATGCACTCACTCCGGTACATTAAGATTATAATGACTTGACTTGACTAGACTACTCCGATCTTTGTAATGATGCACGATAATTTTAGCTACCTTGATCAGCGCGACAAATTAATTATCGCATTCATAGCTGTACTGATCATCAGTGAGTATAATGATTCTAGAGGAACGACTGACAGAATAACTAAGCGCAGAAAGGAGGCAACGAATGTTACGTCGAACAGTGTCTAACCACTAATGAGGCTCCCCTCGAGAAAGATGACGTGAAACAAAGTGGCTGAGCGATTCGGTCAGCTTCCTTATGCTCTTCCGCCACATAATCCACTGATCACCTTGGAGTTGTACTCGGCTATGTGCAATAGTGAGAAACGGCACACGCCGCGGCTTGCATGCATTTGGAGAAGATGATCGAGGAGGAGAGGCGATTGGAGTCGAATAGCCACTCTCCAACTAGATACTGCGGTGTGTCTGTTACCAAAACGGGATGGCGACCATTGGTAAAAAAAGACATCGGCAGTACGCTTCACTGCCGCGCAACCACCACGAAGCACATGTGTGCTAAGGATACTGCGGGGGACGCCCGGTCCCTACGCAGGATCGAACCAGCGCCCTGGGATTAAAAGGCAGGCTTGTGATGCTTAAGGCTATGGGATGGCAAACTACAGCGTAAGTCACTCGGTTTCCCCGCCGCATAAGAACCATACTCAGGGAGCCAGCAGTGCATGCTGGCCATGACTCTGTTCCACTCAGTAACACTGACCCATCCCTAAACCAATAAGCTGCACTCGACCCGAGGAGGGTTATGTCGCCAGCGTACTCCAAGTGGAGTTAAAACAATCAAAACACAAAGTTGACAAGGAAAAAAGTGATAGATTAGCACTGAAGCTCTTTAATTACCGTATTCAGTCCAGGGGACCAGCTCGTGGACGCTGACAGTACGCGGGCGTTGTGGCAAAGGTTTTAAACTGGAAAGACTTTTCAAAACCCGCGGCTCAAAGATAGAGGCACTTAAAAACAAGCGCGATTAATCGAAGTAAAGACAGTATTTGGGTCATAAAAGGGTACAATTTTAGTCTACTGGCAATATTTCTAACGATCAGGCACATGTGGAAGCGTAGAATTACGATCAAAACACTCTCTATCAGGGTGGAAATCAGTAGCCAAAGTACATGAGTAATTTGTGGAAATGGATGTGAAGTACGATGGTTGCCAAAAGAGGTGACGTCGCCTCTAAATGATGAATAGGTATCATCATTACGCCCGTAAGCAGTACCGAGACTTCGCTGCCGCGCAACCACCAATCGCACGTGAGCTAAGAATACTGCGAGGGTCGCCCGATCCACTAAACAGACTTAAACACGCCCTCGGATTACAAGAGAGGCTTGTGGCTCTGAACGCTACGAGGATGAAAGTGAAGGTAGATAATTGCCAGCCGGAAATCACGCAGCTTCCTTGCATCAAATAGGATCTGATAGAGCTGTCGAACCAGTTCCTATAAAGTCGGCAACGTCCGCACGCAGTGATAGTGGAAAGTCATTTGTAGTAGCGGCAGCAGCAAGATTGCACCAAGTGGTGCACGATTTCAACGATGGTGGAAGCTGTCATGCCAAAGTTCCACACAGATCCAGGTAATCCAACTAACAATGATGATACATCAGGTCGAGTGGAGCATTCCGCAAATTGCATGACCTAACACCATAATCTACATGGTCGAGAGTAAATTAGATGCGTATTTTCCTCAGTTCGTGTCTCATGTATGGAACACCTCATCGATTAAACCAAAATGGTGCTCTGGTACTCCAATGGTGTTATTCGTCCGCATCTCATGGGTTTTTATCTAGCTAGATCGATTCACAGGCTCACTGCTAGACGGCGTTTCAGAGTGCTGTGAATTGCTAGTGAAATCCACTTAATTGGCTCTTTCATGCAGCATTTCCTCATGAAAATATCAAGACAACTACAAGGAACGACATCACGACAGGACATCCGGAATGCAAATATTTCGGGTATTTTCATCAGCCGACCCGTAGTCTAAACGTAACAAGCTTGTCTTGTAATCTGACGGCGTGAGTTCGAGCCTGCGTAGGAGCAGGGCAACCCTCGCAGTCGGCGTGCGACCGGTGGTGGTTACACGGCAGCCAGACGTCGGTACTGCGTACCGGCGTACTGGTGATGCCTTGTCTTTATTTTTTCCATTGGCTGTTCACATACATAATGCGATTGTGTACAAAACACATTTGGTTCTATACAATGGAATAATCTATCATCAGATTGATGGTGTGGCCAGAGGCAGTCTTAGCAGATATTTTTATGGATCACTTGAAGAACACTACACTGGGTTATAAGAAAAAAAATGTGTATTCGCATTGTAGATACCTTGACGTCACGTTTGCTGCGGTTGATACCGCTCGGTAAGTAATGAAACCAGGTGCCGTCCTGCAATCGGATTCACGAAAGCGAAATGGATAACCCCTTTCAATTTTTGGATGTAAAGCTAGAGGGGAATTCAGAGGGGCATGCGCACTCGATCTGTCTGTCGTAAGCCTACTGGGAACAAGACAAATACCTCAATTTCAACAGTTTTTATCTCATAAACTAAAGACGAGCATCGGTTCGCACCGCCTTCGTGAGAGCTCGTAAAATTTGCTCTGAAGATATCATCGGAGGGGAGCTGGAACACACATAATTGGCACTACGTAAAAAGGGATACCCGAGAGATGTATAGCGTGATACGAAAACACAGAAAGCAGAGAAAAGACTGAGAGACGTCGCTAGGAAAAGTGTTCATTACGCTAACTTTTAAAGGGAGTTAAAATGACAGAAGATTCCGGCATCATCTCCACCAGTTGATAAAAAAGTGTTATTTCGCGACTAAAATTGTGTTAGTGCACCGTGTAAGAAAACTGCCATAGAAATTCAATCTGAACAAGCCAGACCCTCTAGTTACCACCACTTGTGGTACTTGTGGTAGCAAGTACGTTGGCCGAACTGTGAGAAGACTGTCGACTGAGATTACAGAGCACATTCCACGTAATATGGTCGTGAACGGTCCCAAGTTTCCGGCAACCTCCATTATCCAGCACATCCTAAACTGCTCCAAATGTTAAAATCTCCGTGAGTTGAGCGGGATAATTAACACACAGAGCATAGTTCGCCTGCTTCAGTTTGCTGAAGCTTCAGCAATTCGGAGCTTGAAACCCAATTTGTGCGAACAGATTGAGTTTATGATCAGCCTCGCATTGCCGTGGCAAGATCCTTTGATTGTTTCAAATTTATTGGTTCTATGTGACTAGTCGAAGCCCAGTAAATCCATCCACTATTCGGAAGCCTTAGGCTAGGCGGAAGATTGATCTCAAGTTTCTTTTGCATTGCGCATTGTGGGCGACTCCGGTCCGCATTCGGCTGATTCACCTCGTCTGCATTGACATCTGATTTTGAAATACAAAAGGAACTGATGCTTCACGTATTGCAAATAGCACAGAAGAGTAAGCACTTTCGAGCTGGAGCACTTAGTCAATGCGACGACGTACGAGGGCATGGTCAGAACCGAGAGAAATGTCCAAAATCTGCCGAAAATCTTGCGATGGTGCATAGTTGATGACTTGTCTTTCGTTGACCACCATGTTACTCGATAGAAACACTCGCGTTGGAAGGCTTTGCTGAGCACCAGAGGATTTCGACAAAAAGCAAGATTTTATCTACTCAGTCTCCTCGGTGAGGTCGGACGGGGGTAGGCAAATCACATGGAAGCAGTATAGATTAGGTTGGACGGTAGACGTCATGATCCGCGAGGATGATGGGCCTGACTCCTAAGACGGAAGGAACCTTAGACAAATGGGCACGAAAATAAATTAAAAGCCCATGATACTGGCTGATAGCTGATGCAAAGCACTGAAGTACAAAACAAGTATGCGAAGACAACAAAGCACTTCAGTTGTTGTGTCGCGAAGTAATGAAGAAGCCACCAACGTGGTCAGTGTGTTGTGGACATTAAATACAGTGTCACGCAAAAACAGGAGAAAACGTACACAGAGTAATTTCCACACAACGGGACGAAGTTCTCCAAGCACCCCTGACCAAGCCAACTGGCGCAGGGAACCTGGAAGCGAAACAAGGAAAACAGCGTATTCAAAAAAAACACATGGCCTTTTAGTATTCAATAAGACCACTCACTCATGGAGAATGTTTGAAAATTCGCAACACAAGAGAAAAGATACGGGAAAGAGTAGATGCTACTAGTATGCAAGCCAATGGGCACGATTGCGGAGAATAGCGAGCTGCTTGAAACACTTAACGCTACCGAAACTCAGAAGGGTCAAGTTGAACGTGAAAAAATAGGGTGTTAATTGTATAAACATCTATGATTATTTCGATACAAAAATGTACAAACCTAGTGGAGAGTCGAATAACTTCAAAAAAAGTTGCGTACTCCGAGAAGCAAGCAGAGAGTAGATAGAATACAAATATCTGGGTTAGCAGAATATTGTATTACCAGAGAGCTGACCTCAAGATCTTGGGAAATACTTGGAGCGGATGGAGAACTCATGATTTCAGTAAGGTTTGAAAACAACCGGTTGGTCTAGTTTGCGGGCAACGTTTCGCTTTGACACAAAAGTCTTCTCAGGACGAGTGAACCAGTCGAGGACTGGTATAGCATTTATAGCGAACCTGGATGATAATCGCGACGAATGGGATGTAGGCAGTCGCGTTACAGGTCAATGTATCAGTCCAAATAGTGCATGAAACGGTCACAAGTGGTCCGCCTCCCCGCAAGTCGACTGAACTCGGAGTTACAGACTATCGTAACCCAGGCGGACTATGACAGGCTTTATAACAAAGCTTCAGATGTTAAGTCAACGAGAAGGACCACAAAAGCAAGACAAATCCGTAAGCTCCACCATTTGATGTCCGTACGTAGCAAGACCACCGGTCCAACTAGCAGGCTTGTATTTAGCAGCAGATATTGTAACGTAGTTAATAATTAGATAGTGTTGAGTGAGGAGTGTAGACTACTGAAGAAGGGTTTGACATTTACTAGCAATAAATCCAACATAAGAGCCGAAGAAGTTGTTCATAGTTTTAAGACTGCTGTAATGAAGTTACCCACTTCAACAGCTGAACATATTCGCGTAGAGCTTGTAAACATTATAAAATTTCAGCAGCCGGGGAGCAGAATCTTAAGCCAGAAGAAAGTGTCGCATTAACTGCCCTATAAGAAGATCCGAACATTGTTATCACAGCAGCGGATAAAGGCAAAATCACAGTGGAAATGAACCAGCCAGATTACTTGAAAAAGATGGAGGCGCACCTAGTGACGGGACCATATAAGGCTACCGACAATAAGCCTGTCATTTCAGTTATGAAAAAGAATAAAAGAGAGGTTAGTAATTACTTAGGGAACGTAAAGGAGTATCTAGGACCGGGAAAACGATACAACATATACCCGAAATTATGTCTTTCATTGAGAGTGTATGGTTTGCCGAAGATACATAAGCCCTATGTACCCATTCGACCTATTGTAGAAAGCATAGGTTTCCCGAAGCATGAACTAGCTAGATATTTGGCTAGCATATTGTAACCCTTGACGGAGCAAAAGAATAGGTTCGTAAATCACTCTTATGATTTTGCGAGAAAGGTGTTATGCCTTGAGACTGAGTCTGATTAAATGACGGTCAGTTTCGAGGTTAACTCTCTCTTTACCAACGTGTCAATATGCAACGATTTGGTAATAGCGAAACACCTATAGCGGAATCGTTCGGTCGCTATAAACTCAGGTTCGTCCCGCCTTAAGGAAATGCCGGAAAAAGAGGAATATATAGGCGAGAAAGATGTTTATTGTCGAAAGGTACAATCCCGCTAGCTAAAGGCACCGTCACCAGTCGAGATGCAGCGAAGGCTTTTCCAAGCGGAAAGCCGGAAGCTCGCGAAATACGATTCATCCGGGTGACTCAAACACACGTAGTCATCATACGAACAGGCAAGCTTCCTAAGTTGTCTAGGTACAAAATGATATTATTTTTTTAATAATATTGTACACAGACAAACAGGGGAATCTCCAGGTCACTATGCAGTTTCCCTCCTAGAAGGGAACGGCGGGTGACTCTTCGATCCACGTCCGTCGCGGACCAGCCTACTGCGAGACTAGTCGGTGAAACCTGATGCAGCTGTGGGGGGAGAACCAGGAGATCGGACCGTAGCGCCCTCCCACCGGTGTCCTCCCTTAAGATGCCAATAAAAAAGGGGAAAATATTCGTAGCGTACGATCACTTGTGTTTAACCACGAGTGAGTGTTCTTCGGTTCGCGACATGGAAAGAAAAAGAAACGAGGGAGGTCAGACATACAGAAGTAGTGGAAGCAACAAACGGGAAGTACACTTATCGAAGGGGCAGCAAAAGGTCAAAGAAACGACTCTCCTTACTGGTTTTCAAAGCGTTCACACCGTTTTTGCTGGTTTTGAGAAAGTTTTGTGCTTTTTTGGCGGTTTTTGAAGGATACCGATGCGATGGAGAACCTGAAAACGCTGTTAGAAGGGAAAATGCTAACGTTCCAGAAAACGTGTCGGCCAGTGAAACCGACCACCAGACCTAGTAACCTGTGTAGACTTGGTGGAATCAGAGCGCTCGGGAAACGGGTTTCCAGTTGTGGTGTTGCTGTCTGCAGGCGTTTCGTTCGCCATCGGTTGGGTCGATCCGGCGGAGGGATGGAGTCATCATTAGACTTGTTCGACTTGAACAACTTTGAGGCGGTTGATCGAGAGAGTTTCGTGCTTGTCGTTGCGTTCGATGACGAAGAAACGATCCTCACATTGTAGGACCTTAAATGAACCTACGTAAGGTCGCTCGATTGGCTTGCGTAGACCGTTGATGCGAATGAAGAGGAATGAGCAGTGGTGAAGAGCTCCGGGAACGTAAAACTTGCGATTCTGTTCCCGTACTTCGGTCGATTTATCGAGGCACATGCTCGTGGCTAACTGCAGAGGGTAGCGTGCGTCCTAGCGAGGAGTGTTCGGGGTTTCGCAGAAAATATCGCCCGGTAATCGGAGCGGTTGTCAATAAACCAATTCGGCTTTGGAGGTTTCGAAATCGGTTTTCGGTAGTGATCAAATCCCGAGTAGTACCAGTGGCAGAATTTCTGTTCAACTAAGTGCACTGGCGGCACTTAGCGAGGCTCTAAGCTGCGGTGGAAGCGTTCCACCATTTCGTTTACCTGAGGATGGTAGTCACTTTTCCGAATGCGTTTACACCCAAGGACCTTGAGCAGGACGCTGAAAGTCGACGGTTCGAATGGTGGACCACGTTCGATAGTCACAGTGGCTGGACAGCCATGTGAAGAGACCTAGTGCTCGACGAAAGCGCGCATTATGGTCTCAGCAAAAACATCCGGAATTGGGACAGGTTTAGTCCAACGAGTGGCGCGACCCACCATGGTCAGTATGTAGACCATGAATTTTGATGGCAGATGAGGTCCAACAATGGCGAGATGGATGTCAGCGAATCGAGTTGACATTGACGGAAAGCGTCCAATCGGAGCGGCAACATGTCGATGAACTTTTGCCCGCTGGCAAGTCATACGGTTGCGTGCCCAAAGAATGACGTCGCGCTGCATGTCGGGTCAGAGGTACCTGTCGGCAATCATCCTGACTGGTGAGCGGATGCCAGGATGCGCGATATTGTGTAGCGTATCGAAGATTTTTTGGCGGAAAGCAGTTGGTACAAGTGGATGTGGATGTCCGGTAGAGATGTCGCAGATTATTGTACTTTAGACGAAGGAAGCGGTCTAGGTGCCAACTTCAGCGTGGACTTTTCGCAGGATGTCATTGGGTCTTTCTCGGCTTGTTGAGCTGCGGCCATAGCTGACAGATCGAGCGACTGATCGGTCGGAGCCAGAGAGTTTACTGTCGAAAGCGTGTCCGTCATTACGTTATCCTTGCCAGACACGTGTTGGACGTCCGTCGAAAACTGAGAGACGAAATCTAGATGACGAACATCACGCAGTGTCGAGGGGAAGGGTTCCGGAAAGCGTAAAGGAGTGGTTTGTGATTGAAGATCGTAAAAGGATTACCTTTAAGAGCATGAAGAAAATGGCGAACAGCGGCGAGCAACTCGCGGCCAAATGTGCTGTATTTCTTCTCGGCTGTCTGAAGACGTGGGGAAAAGAACGCTGGTGGTAGTCATTTACCTTAGGAAAACTGCTGTAGAACAGCGCCGGTTACGTTTTCCGGGGCGGTGACGGCAACATTGATTGGAGCGTTCGAGTCGAAGTGATGAGCATAACGGTGGAAGCTAATGCTTCTTTGTTAGCCTCGAATGCTTTTTGTACTTCAGGCGTACGATCAACTTTACCGTTGTTGCGTCCATGCAGAAGATCCGTGAGCGGTTGCATAAGCTCGGCGCAGCGTGGTAGGAATCGGCGAGAGTAGTTGACTATGCCGTTGAAGCATCGAATGGAGACGAGAGTGGTTGGACAAGGAAAGTCGCAAATTGCCTGGACTCTGTTCTGCAAATGGCGGATACCCTCAGAGTCGAACTGGTGTCCGAGAAACTCAATGCGCAACTGCATAAAAGTGCACTTGCCGAGGTTGACGGTGACATTGTGCGCCGTTCGAACAAGAGTCCTAGATGAGTTCAATGTTCCTCTTCCGAAGAAATGGTCACCAAGATGTTGTTGATGTAAGAGTAAACGAAGTTGAATCCGCGTAGGACGGTCAATGAAGTGTTGAAATGTCTGCGCAGCGTTGCGCAAACCGAATGGCATCCGTAAAAACTCAAACAGTCCAAATGGCACGATAAGGACGGTTTTCGGCGAAGGGATCTGATGATAAGCTCGCACCAGATCGATCTCTGAGAACATGCGAGCACCATGAAGACCGGCCGTGATATCCTGTATTTAAGGAGGAGGGTATCGGACCGGGATTGTTACGTTGTTGAGAGCACGGGAGCCTACACATGGTCGCCAGTCTCCTGACTTTTACGGCACCATGTGAAGTGGCGAAGAGAAGGGCTGCTGGAAGGCCGGACGATACCAATTTCGAGCACGTGCTCGAATTCCACACCGGCGGTTCTGAGTTTGTCCGGAGTCAATCTTCGGGCTATGGCGGA